GCTCAATATCCCATTATTCCAGGGTAAGTCCGATCCTGAGACATACCTCGAATGGGAGCGCAAAATTGAGCTTGTCTTCGAGTGCAATAACTATTCAGAGGAGCAAAAGGTGAAGTTTGCCGCCGTCGAATTCACAGATTATGCATCCGCATGGTGGGATCAACTTCGAACTTGTAGGAGGAAAAATGGTGAGCGAGCAGTAGAAACTTGGGGAGAACTTAAAGGAATCATGAGGAGACGATTTGTCCCAAGCTACTATCATAGGGAGTTACACCAACGGCTACAAACTCTCACTCAGGGCGACAAGAGTGTGAAGGACTACTTCAAAGACATGGAGATGCTCATGATGAGAGCCGATGTGAATGAGGATGCTGAAGCCACTATGGCACGACTCTTCAATGGCCTAAAATCCGATATTGCTGAGATAGTTGAACTCCAACATTACATGGATATGAGTGAAATGTTAGATAAGGCTGTGAAAGTTGAAAGGCGAATCAAGAGGAGGGGTACTGCTAGATCTTCGTCCCATGTAACTCCTTTAAGTTGGAGCACCAATCCCGGACCTAAAGAGGAGAAGCCTGCAAACTCAACTCCTCTACTCCAGCCTAAAGGGGACCAAGTTGGATCGGGTACAAGTAAAGAAGCGCCAACCCCATTTAATGGTGCTTCTAACTCGCGCAATCGGGATCGAAAATGCTTCAAGTTCCAGGGGTATGGTCATATACAATCCCAATGCCCTAATCAACGCATTATGGTTATAAGGGACAATGGTGAAGTGGCCACAGATGACGAGTCTGATTATGCAGGGATGCCGCGTTTGACGGGTGATGGGGACTCGGAGGAAGAGATTGCACCACTACCTGGGAATGTAGGATGTTTGGTCGCTCGCAGGGCGTTAACCATGCTTGCTAAGGAGGATGAGGGGTCTCAACGGGAGAACATCTTTTACACCCATTGCAAAGTTAAGGATAGGATTTGCAGCTTAATTATAGATGGGGGAAGTTGCACCAATGTTGCAAGTTTACTCATGGTAGAAAATTTGGCTCTCCCAACCAAGAAACATCCACTACCTTATCGACTGCAATGGTTGACAGTTGATGGGGATGTGCGAGTGTATAGACAAGTGTCGGTGCCTATTTGCATAGGGAAGTATGAGGATGAGGTGATCTGTGACGTCGTTCCCATGCAAGCCACTCACATTATTTTGGGACGACCATGGCAATACGATAAGGATGTATCCTTTTAAGGTCGAACTAATAAGTATTCTTTTGCTCATGATGGTAGGAAGATTACTTTAGCCCCTTTATCCCCCAGCCCAGTTTATGAAGATCTAGAGAAGTTGAGGACAGAGAGTGAGCATGAAAATGCAAGGAAAAAGGAAAATCGAGTTGCTAGCCATGAGAGAAAGCAAAATCTCTTGATGCGCTTTACACCTGAGGGCGTTGCTTCGCGCCCCTCACCTCTAACATTTGCTTTGTTTAGTGTCCACTCTTTTGTGCAGGTTGAGCAAGGGGCAAAAGTCTTGGTCCTGCAATATTCTATGCCTCCTTCCATTGGAGCTAATAACCGAAGTACTGTTAGCCCGCGCCGCCAATTCTTGCGTTCCCACGATTTGAGGACAAATCTTTTTAAGAGGAGGGGAATGATACGAATCTTAGGAGCTGCCCAAAAGCTATTACGTGGTCCATTGACGGGTCGTTGGGGTCCAAAGAAGAGAGCCAAAGCCAAGCATTTAAAGTTCAAGGATTTCGTGTGCAACGTATCGGACTGATTTAGTTGTTTTAGCAGTTTCCGTTATTTCCAATTATTTCCTATTTTTATTGCTTCCAATTGGGTCTTGTAAGCCTACTAAGGCATATCTAGTATGTTAAGGAATTAGTTATGTTTTGGTTAAGTCTTTCAATTCAATTAGGAAACTTATCTCTTTCGCGTAGTTTTAGGTTAAGTTGTTTTGTAAGCCTATAAAAGGCTGCTCAATTCCATAGAGAAGGGACCTTTTTTTGGGGACAATTTCAGAAATTAAGAGAGTTTCTCTAGCTTCTTGTAAGCACCCTTGAGCACCTTTAGAGGATCTAAAGTGTTCGTCGACTTTATCAATCAAGGAACACGCTTGATTATGGTGTCTTCTATCGTTCGAAACTATCTCGCGCTACCCTTGATAGTCTAGGACTCCGCTTACCACAAACTCGTTACCTTGGTCTTGGGCTTGTGGTTCGAATTCTGGCATCCTCGGATCCAGGTTCGTATCAGTTACTCCGATCTTCTTTTGCTTATTGGTTTCAGCTCAACTAAAAGAAGAGAAGTTGAAAGTTGACGCCACTACTTCAATTACTTTCTTTCTTTCATGTGACTTTACCTTTCCAGACCCTATGAACTATGTGTTGGGTTTTTGGGAAATAAGGCAGCCGAAAATTTCATAAATTTTCCCAAAAACCACTCATGATCATCCTAGTTTTTGTGTATGGTTCAAGAAGAAGGGAAAAAACAGATTACCTTAATCCGTATGACATTTTTCTGATGTATTGGAGAAGACGAATGACCCCTTGAGCAGTTACGATGTCCTGCCTCTACCGAAATTCACGCGAGAGTGATATCTGGATCGTTTCTATAATTTGTGTGTGAAAGTGATGAAAGTTGCCAGCCTTTTTTTCACTTTTCTTTGTCTGTTTTTCTCTCTATATATGTCTCACATATTTTTCCATTCTACGCTCTCTATTTGGTAACGAAAACTTGATACCCCATTGGAGTCAGAGGTTTTTTTTCATACTAATAGAGGTAAGATAGAGAGAAAAAAAAAAGAAGAGATAGGATCTAATTGTTTTATTCAAGATCAAAACGAAAGATATCCAATAACAAACTCCATCTCTCAGCTATCTGATACATAGGAGATACCTTTTTTCTCCTATCTGCTCAGATAGTTCTGGAATTTATTTTCTTTGTAATTAAATCCCGAAAGTATCTTCTACTTTATTTCCAAGTCTTCACTCGGACACATAATTTAATCCAGAATTAAATCTCCAATGTGTGTGATCCAATAGGCTCCAAATGCATTGGCAATAATTATGACTTATAATTCCCAAAAAGAATTAGATAAAATAAATAATTTTATTTTATCATTAATTACAATAATTAATTAATTTATAATTATAAATCATCAGCGGTGTTTAGCAACATATCATGACCACCCAAGTACTCGGAATTAGTCAAGGAAATCTTGACCTAACCTTTCCATGAAAAGTTATCATGTAATTATTGTCCTTTCACCACCGATATCCAATTAGTCAGGGAATAAGGAATGAATGCCAATTTCCTATTGACTAATTAAATTTGCTAGTTCTCAGAATTAACTCTAGGTTAGGTTAACTTAAAAATACTCTTCAATATAATTAACCTAACACAGTCGACTTTTTAGGGTTAATTTCCCATTGGTGGCTATGCAGATATCAACTCCTACTATCGGAGTAGTGAATCCTATCTTAATCACTCATTATCTTTCCGTGCTTCACGCTGCACCCAATCTCTATTCTCTAAGTCACTCTCAGTGAGTAACAAGCAATAGAGTCAAAATATAGTGATTCACACTCAAGATACTATGGTGATCTCAAGTCGTGGGATCATTTACATAACTTTCCACAAGAGATACAACCATTGGCACTAGATAGATATCCCAATGGGATCTCTAAGCGGATCATTCTAATGTATTTGTACTTTATAAATCATCTACACATTAGCCTAGGTCTCTATATACCATGATTAATGAGAACAACCACTACTTACATTAAGTAGAGGTTAATTGTGTACTAGTCTTTCCGTACTAATGATGTTCTCTCTCATTAGTACTATGACAATTAAAATTTAAGAATATTACTATAAATGTGATTGATATCTCATAGTCATCAATTCTTGTGACTACCATCGCATTAGTAAGTATTTTAAGGATTTTATCGATTATATCTAGCATGTAACAGATATAGAAAAAGTTATTAAAATACAAAACATAATAAGAAATGTATTAAATAAAATCATTGTTTTAGGGCATACATTCCAACACGATGTTTGTATCATCGAGTCATTACTGGCTGTTCAAACTCATTGGAAAGTGATCAAGATATTCCATTTCATGGTCTTACCCTCTTTTCTTATCGGTAAATGATACTAGCACTTCTCAAAAAATCTCAAATAGTCCTTTTTTATTTTGCATTAGGTGAAGTTTAAGCAGTACTTGAGAAGCGCCAATATCATTTTCCTTCCTTATCAAATTTGAGATAAAAGGATATTTTATATCTGTAATCAGTAATTTGCTAACAACAACAGGGAGTTAGTAGTAGTGCCATTTTTGCTCCAGATAGCCTACTGAGCTCTCAAACTTAACTTTTTCCGGTCACTTTACGTGCATCTAAATATGCTTTCCTTTGATAATTGATACCATAATTTGCCTAACATTTGCTCGTGCAATTGTTCCTTTCAGGATAAGAAGAAAAGTAGTTCCAGAGGCCGTTCATATATGGATGATGGATTTTGGCCTCACTGAACATATTTGCAGTTTGCATAACAATCTGAAGCCGGCCTGTGTAGTATTAGTTGGAACCTCGTTTCATGCTTGACGCTCCCATGGATGAAAAATGGAGTCAATTCTTTCACAATGCAAACTACATTTAACTTTGGTTAATTTAGATTTAAATTTACTTTTCTTTTGTGTTAGTTCACAATTGAATAATTCCTACTTGAAATGTACATAAAAGTTTGTATCCTGATATAATAAATCTAGTCTAATCTAATCTAATCTAATACTATGTAAAAGTATGATGGGAATTTTACCTAGCAAACTTTATCAATAAATTCGAGGTTTTGGTGATGGTGTTTTGGAACAAGGTATATCCAAGGCCGAAAATGCTTGATGTTTGATCTACACTTGGAGATTGAGTCTGCATCAGATTTGTTTCGAATCCGGGTATAAAAGAAACATCACACAACGTTAAATAGTACACTTGTGGCAGATTGGGGATTATTGTACGATTTATTATTATCACAAAACAAAATATTTAACCTACATACATCATACACTCCAAAAAAAAAAGAAAAAAAAAGAACTGAATATACATCACATCAGATGAATGATATGGCAGAAGACGAGCACACTTGATAAAGTTGTACTAATCTCATTTTGCACCTTGTTGATAAAGAGTTTTATTAGGTACTAGATTATTGCAAATAGATAATTAAATGGAAAAATTAACAGGATAAGGTTTTCGAATTGAAGGTGCAAAATGAGTTCAGGCCATAATTCAGAAGATCTTTTGAGCTAACGTGTCATCGTTTCTCCAACTGGAGCCATAGTTACCCCAGAAATCTTTTTGCCAGCATTTCCTTCCCAACCTGGAAACCAAAGTACCTCAATCCAAGACTTAATTCTGACTTTTAATGAGAAAGGATGAGGTTATATATTGAGAACATCAAAATATCAGAAAATTTTTTTTCCTAATATGAATGAATACTCACAAGATGAGCATACAAAAAAACGGGATGGATTCGCCTCACCTTTTACTAAAAATGTAATATCAGACCTACTTGTCCGATAAAATTGAGAATTTGAGGTCAATAGGGATTCAAAATCACCCAAGTTAATTGTAGAACAATTTTAACACTTTGATAATCTTGCTGTTTAGCGATGCACTCTTTTTTTTAAGGAAAATAAGAATGTTATAGAACCTGTGACTCTGAAATTACACATCACTGTTAGTCACTGAAATTCCTAAACATATCATTATGCTATCTCTTAATTCCTATACTTTATTTAGGTCTTTAACATCCTGCATCTTAGACACTTTCAGGGGTATTTATCATCCCAAGAGATATAAGTGATCATTGAGTGAATATATGCATGTAACTCGCCTGTGATGCTACTGGAATCTATTCTTTTACAGAGACTCGCATCTGCAAGTTTCTAAAACACCATCCAAAATTGTTCAAGAATTTAAAATATAAAAAGGAGGAGGACATGGGTAGCAAAATGTTCATACCAGCAGAAACATCATATCCTTGGAACTGAAGTTCACGGTACTCTTGGCACAAGGCGCAACGCTCGCAACAGAAATGAAGGATACAATCATGGCATGAGCCTCCCATAATACCGTATTGTTGCCTTATCTTGGTGCGATAGCCCATGCTAACAATCCATGACAAGGACCCATGATTCAACAGGAGTAGACCTAGCAGACAGAAAATGCACCCCATCTTGCAGCAAGCTATATATCAAAAAATTAAAAAAAAAGAAGAAAATTAATGATCAATGCATTTCATATCTGATGATAGCTAGCAAGATTAATGATGAACAACTATAAGAAAAGTTCTTGTTTTGTACTTAACAGGATTGGCCTCTATCCACGATCTCAGCAATCCTCCCAAAGGCAACACAAGGGCACCAGCAGGCAAGGCAACCTGTCAAGCCAAAATGTTTATGAACATGAAGCATGGGTTGCATTATAATAGAACAATTAAGACCCTCAGAAACCTTATAGAATGGTATCTATTGGGCATTTGAATTCTTGGAACTTACAGGAACGGCAATCCTGGGTGCAATCACAGAGGCCGGTAGACCAATCGTTGTTCCTATTTCCAGAAGCCATGCTTGGAAAAACTAGTAGGGGTGTGGTAGTAATAGGAAACCAAAATTGATTAGCCAGCAGCTAGAATCTGTATTGAAACACAAGAGGAACCTCGAATGCACTTAATTTTGCAGGGAATGCTTCCTTTCATAGGCGTTATATATAGAGTCAGTCTAGAGAAAGCATAAAGCTAGTGGTACTATGATGCAGAAAGCAAATTTGACAAAAGAAAATGCTGTTCTATAAAACAAAAGACCCTACGCGATAGAAGAAAAAAGGAAAAAACGGCTTATCTTCTATTTTTTAGCTATTTTCTACGTCTGTTGTCTTTTTTCTTTTATTTTTGGGTGGCTGAACTGACAAACTAATCCTCGTTTTTAAAAGCACGGTCTTCCATCTTCATTATACGATTTTTTATCCGTTGACTGGACCACAAAACCATTCACAAAAAGGACTCGTTTTGAAAAACTCATCAATGTCCTTGCGAAGATACTAAGGTATGCCCATGAACGTCTACAGCGTGTTCAACATAGGCCGTTACAGTCACCATCACTACCCAGCAGATTTCCCATGGTGGCAACTGGCAACTGGGGGTGTTCACACTTTGCAAAAAACTCAATTACCGGCTGATCCGTAAAACAAAATTCGGGAAAAACGATTAAGATCTAATCTTAAAATTTGGTAAAATAAATTGAAAATAGATGTTGAAATTCGATTCTCGAATTCTCGAGGCTGATGAATTAGCGAATTTCATATTTTAATTAAATATTTTATGTCTATTAAAATATCATATTACATATTAATGTATTAGTCAAATAGTGTTATAAGTTATAATTTATGATTATAAAAAAAATGTGATCTTAAAAGCATATTAATTAATTTATTATTAATTTTTTATTATTAATTATGCTTTAAATATACTTAACTAATCTATATTAGAAAACCAATCTACAACTTTGGATATTGTAACGAAATATCGATTGTTTAGTCCAAAGCCAATTACCAAATAAAAGTTTGAACGGTAATTAGATGTTAACCTTATTAAAAATAAAAATAAATAAATTTTTTCTACCGAATTACCGATGACCGGCGATCAACACTCCTAATGGCAACATACATTATGGCAAAATGACCCCTTCTACCAGGACCCTTCTATGGTGGAAAATAATGGACAGAGCCGATGGAAACTTTACAGCAAAGGGATGTGATGTAGATGATAATAGAGGGACAATTTCAAGTGCATTGAAAGGCACATGCATTAGGGATGCAGGCAATACATCGAGACAATTGTCTTTCCATTTATTTATATTCAAATTTCTCTATAATGTTTTAAGAATCATCTGATTATGTTTTTTTTTCTCATTTTGATCATGAGTAGATCAACACATTAAAAATCGATATTTTTTTTTAAAAAAGAATACTTGGGCATTCAATTTGCTTGAATATATAAATGGTGAAAAATTCATCACATAACAAAGTTTTGCAATGATTAATCAACGAATAAAATTGGGTCAATTTAATATGAGTTTCTACATTAACTAACATAAGTGATTGAAGTATAAATTTGAACGTTGTGGATTTAAGTTCATTTTCTGTGATGCAATGGAATGGAGAGAAAATATATTTAATTCAATGGAGAGGAGCTTAGTTCATTAGGAAGAAAAAATTATGGTTTGAAAGCAAGCTACATGCATAAGTGGGGCTTGTTTGACAAACAAGTTTTTGTCCAAATTTGCCTGCTACAAATTTTTTAACAATTTTGCATATAGTAATCTCAAAAAATTTCTTAAAAATTTTAAACTATAAACTTTAAAATATCCAAAAATTTACACAATTCAAAAATTTTTCCTACAACTTCCACAGTAAGTTACGGTAAAGTTTTAGACAAATATCCAAAAAGCTTATTTGACAAAGAAGGCTGTGGATTTGAAAAGGACATTTTAAAAATAAGGCATATATGTAAGGTAAGGGAATGTATACTTACCACTCTCCTATTTGCACATTCCTTCTTCATCCACCCCACCAACTTATACGTATTTTTCTTTTCAGTGTGAAAAGGATCAAATCTAATATCTAAAATTCCTGTTGTTTTTTCTGGACATACAAATATGTGGAAATGTTGTTCATCATGGCAAAATGACCCTTCTGGCAGGATCCTTCCATGGTGGAGAATAATGGAGAGGCCCGACGGAAACTTTACAGCAAGGGATGTGATGGAGACGAAGAGAAAGTGTAATAAAGGGACAATTTTAAATGTGCGGATTCTGTAACGAATCTTTTGTCTCACACTTTGTGCCACTCTCTGTCCCATTTTTTATTGTATTGTTATTTCTTCTACATAAACATCATATTTTAGTTCTTTTTTGTTTCCTTAAAATTCAATAACTATTAATTGAATAAAAAATAAATACAACAGGTTCTAAAAAGCAATATATAATAGAAAATTAAAAAATACAGCAGAAAATTCATAAAAATCTCATTTTTTAGGCATTTTGATTTTTTGAGTTTGTTAAATTTTGTGTATTACTCAATTAATAGTTATTGGATTTGAAGGAAATAAAAAAGAAATAAAACATGAAGTTTATGTAGGAGAAATAGCAATATAATAAAAAATGGGACAGAAAATGGCATAGGATGTGAGACAGAAGATCCGTTGCGGATTGAAAGGCACATGCAATTGTGGCATAAACAAGGCATCGATCGAGACAAAGGGGATGGAATCCACTAGTTACACTAGGTTTCTTTCCAATTGTCTTTCCATTTATTTATGTTCAAATTACTAGTAGATCATTTTAGGAATCATTTGATTGTGTTATTTTTTCTCATTTTGATCATGGGTAGATCAACATATTAAAAATAGATTTGTTTTTTAAGAATACTTGAGCATTCAATTTGCTTGAAATATTTTCAATGGTGAAACAATGGTGAAAAATTCATCGCATAACAAAGTTTTGTAATGATTAATCAACGAATAGAATTGAGTCAATTTAGTATGAGTTTCTACATTAATTAACATAAGTGATTGAAGTATAATTTGAACGTGGTCAATTTCAAATTCATTTGTTGTGATGTAATGGAGTGGAGAGAACTTATATCTAATTCAATGGAGAGGAGCTTAGCCCATTAATAAGAAAAAGCTACCTGCAAGAGTGGATTTGATAAGGGAATGTGTACTTACCACTCTTATATTTGCACAATCCTTCCTATTCTACCAACCAATTTATACATATTTTGCATTTTTAGTGTGAAAAAGATCAACATCAATATTTATGAAAATTCCTTTTGTTTTTCTAGCCAAAACAAAAAGCTAGAAAGAAACGTAACTTAAAAACAAAAGTAAAGATTCTCTGTTGATTGTTATGTTTTAACTAATTGGAGTGCCCTTGTTGACGGGTCTAAATGAGAAAACGGTGACGATGGCATTACCTCGCCGCCGTAAAAAAATGACTAACTTTGTGGTTAAACGAATAAGATAAGTTTGCTTAAAAAAATCCAGGCGGTGCACTGTGCACCCGCATTTGTTCGATAGTGGTTTAGTCTCCTCCGAATTATCCTTGAGGCTCTTTAGATCCGCCCCTCCCCATAGTGTAGGATAGATTAGGTTATACAATAGTTATCATTTCTGAAAAAAAGAAAAAAAAGAAGAAGATAAGTTTTTTTACTTTTTTTTTGTGGGAATTGCAGCTTTAGTCCCCTTGCTTTTACTTTGTTTTTTGCTTAGACCAATGCCGTAACTTGAGCAGTTTTTCTAATTAGACCTCAATACTATGTTGGTAGTAAGATCCATAGGATTAGAAAAGTAAGAAGTTAGTCTAATTAAATTTTATATTTTTCATATTAGGTATTGATTAGTTTTAATTCCCATTCTTTTAGGACTTGTACGAGCCCAATGTAATTTTTATTTACCACATTACTTGCACATGAAAGTGCACTTTCTAATATGCAAATCTTGATTTCTTTTCATCATTTTAATTCGTGAATGCCAAGCATAATATATACGAATACATTTCCATAGCAAATTAAAAGAAATTTTTATTCTAAGGGTCATATATACAATCACGTTTATGTGGCAAATTGATTCGCCTAACCGCATTAAATCTTAGCTTTTGTCATGAATTGAGATCTTACAATGATTCAAATCTAATCCATACTTAAGAACACAATGAATGATCAACTTACACTAGTTAAATATGATATACTTAAATATATTTTAGGTGTCATATTTTGGAAATATAAGATTAAGGGATAATTCAGAAACCTCCCTGAAGTTTCTGACAATTTTACTGAGCTCTTTTGAGGTTTGAAAAATTATACCTACCTCCCTTGATTTAATAGTTTTAGTAACAAAATCTTAAATAATATTGACTTGATCAAATTTTTAAATGAATACCTAAAAATGCCCTTATATAATGAGTTTTATTTACTTTCCTACACACTTATAAGATTATCTAGTATAATTATAAGAAAAGGCGCCGAATTTTTTATATCCATACCTACTATTTAATAAACAACTATAATAATAATTTTATCACTATGATAGAATATTTTAATAATTTTTTTATTTTGGATTTAAATTTATAAGATAAAAAAGAAAATATTGAAATAATTCATTTAGAGTTTATGAATTTTTCGAGTAGTGGGATTATCATAATTTAATAGTGGTTTTGGGCCATTTCCTTTTGATTTATTGTTAATTTTAATACCAAAAAATAAAAAATAAAGATTAGCAAAAACTTTGGATTGCATATAAAGCTAATTCATAAAAAAATCACTAGTTTGACATTTGGTTACAATAGCAACTAGAGGTAATAGTGGTAGTTCTACAGTTTTATTGGCAAAAGATTAAAAAAGGAATAAGAAGGAAAAAGAATTAAAAAATAATTTTAAAAGTCATTCTAAGTATAAACATACCAAACAAGAGAATTTCATTAAAATATTTAAGGGTAGTATTGTCATTTTAAATGACAAGGGAGGTATGTGTAATTTTTAAAATCTCGAGGGAGCTAAGTGAAATTGTTAAATACCTCAAGGGAGGTTTCTAAAATTATTCCTAAGATTAATTAGAGAAAGTAAATAAATACATGAGAAGGTAAATAAGATTAAATAGGCAATGTATATAAATGTAATGGAAGATTATAATTGTTAGT